ACACACACACACACACACACACACACACACACACACACACACACACAGTCCCAACTATCTAAATTATAAGTAAACACTGATTTTACTACCTAATAGTATTATAGTATAATAATATTGTTGTAAGGATTAAACAAGGCAATTTATTTTTTCTATTATGTTCCGTGATTTAGAAGCAACAGAGATTCCCATAATAGCCAGTCTTACAGATGTTGAATAATTCCTGCTAATACTACATCTAAACAAACATGAGGAAAGATTTTCATTGTGCCCTCTGATTCATACTTGGCAGTGCTTATTTTGTTTAAATGGTGCCATGGTCTTGCACTGTCTGGCAAACTACTGAACCCTATTTCTAGTCATGAACAGTACTTATATTGGTTTATGATTGAATAAATTTATTTTTATTACTATTTTATTTTATGTATGGATCTTTTGCCTACATTAATGTCTGTGCAAGCATGATACCCATGGAGGCCAGAAGAGGGCTTTGGATCTCTGGAGCTGCAGTTCTGAATGGTTGTGAGCAGCCATGTGAGTGCTGGTATCCCACCCAGGTCCTCTGAAGAGCAGCCCGTGCTCTCAACCAGTGAGCTGTCTCTCCAGCCCCTGGTTTATAACTTCAATTGTGAGGGACATTTTTTTGTTTCAGTGGGACATGTTCTTTCTATAGAGTCCAAGATGGCCTGGAACTCTCACTCCTGGTGCTTGAGAGCCTCCCTCCCCATTTCTGGGATTAAAGCATGTGCTTCCATGCTCAGCTTGAAGGTTCCCCCCTCTTAATTACACCTTCTGTAAGTAAACTAGATAGGTGTATCCCTTTTTTTTTCTTAAATTTCATTTCTTCTACTTTACCTTTGAAAACCTGGATTTAGGCCTATGTTTTTGTTTCTGTTTGTCAGTTATAAAATATGTTCAACAAGAAGAATGTGTAACATGCAATTTAAAGAATAATTGTAAAACCAACCCTTGACTGTCTGGGTTCAGAAATTCAAATCTGCCAGGTCCTTGGACTACCCCTGTCTACACTTCCTGATGATACCTTTTCATTCCACCAGAGGTCTTCCCTATTATAACCTCTAGGAAAGTATTTACTTGCTTGTCTATGGATCTTGACCACATACCTACCTCCAAACAGAATAACACTGTCTGGTTTTGAACACTGTCCTAATTGGATATGATTGTACGTACTAAATACATTGAAATTTGTTCGTTGTTTTCATTTGAACTCATGATTAAGAACTTAAAATAATTTCTTTTCATAACTGATTATGGCAATAGTTGCTCTTTGTAGTTCTGTAAAATGTGGTTTGTGATGGATTGTAATGCTTGTTCTTTCCGCATTAGTTACCACAGCTTTAATAGACAGAATGGGAGACGCCAAAGACAGAGTTCGAGACGAAGCTCAGAACCTGACACTGAAGCTGATGGATGAGGTGGCACCACCTATGGTAGGCTTGCGTTGATTGAAAGTTTTCCTTGTTTTGTTTTGTTTTTTAAGACAGGGTTTCTCTGTGTAACAGCTCTGGCTGCTCTGGAATTAACTCTGTAGGCCAGTCTGGCCTTGAACTCACAGAGATCCACCTGCATCTGCCTCCTGAGTGCTGGGATTAAAGTGCACACCATCACTGCCTGGCTTGAAATTTTCTCATTAGTTGGATGGTAAGTATAGCAAAGTAATAAACCTTGAAAGCATGAATGGTAGAATTTTAAATAGTGGATTATTGCTGATGTTTTATGAAAGTTCAAACTTAAGGTGCAATGCCAACATGTGTTTTTATTTTCATTTAACGTTTCTATTTTTCAGTTACTTACATTTTTTTAAAAAATGCAGAATTAAATGATTTGACAGTATGCTGGTTGTAGTTATGCCTCACCATTTTCTGGTTTTTCTTACCTGCAAATTATAGGATACTGAAAAGGAAACTTTGTTTTTTAACAGTTGGATGTGTGGCCTATATTTGTAGTCCTAGTAATGGGGAGGCAGAGACAGGCATATTTTAGGTTAGTGAGAGACTTGTGACCAAAAAAAAAAGGGAGGGGTAGCTAGCACCTGAGGAACAACACACAAGATTGCCCTTTGTCTTCCACATGTATGCATACTTACTTGTACTCATATTCACTCACACGCATGAACACAGTTGCACATGTTTATGGGCTCTTAGACCAATAACGTATTGGTCTATTTTATGTTGTTACAACAAAATGTCTGAGGTTAGATACTTGTAACAATAACAGCAACAAAAAGATGTATTTAGCTCATAGCTTTGGGAGTCATAGTTTTGTAGACACAACTCCAGCTGTGATATGGGGTCCACCTAGATGCATCACCACATGGGAGGTGGTTGTGTGATGGCATAAATGTTTGCATGCTTATGAGGAACTAAGAGCCAATATTTTTTTTTTGCTCACTGTGTTTTTTAAAGGTCCTTCCATTAAGAAATTATTTTATGTATATATATATATGTATGCATGTATGTATATCACGTATATATAGGTATCTGCAAAAATAAGAATTGGAGTTAGAGAGGCAGTTTTGAGCCGTTGTATGAGTACTGAACTAATTTCTCTGCAAGAACAGCAATTGCTCTTAACCACTGAACCATCCCTCTAGCCCCAGGTCTTTCCGTCGCAATACTGCTATACTGAGGACCAAGCTTCTGACACATAAACTCTTGGGAGAATGACGTGGAAATACTTTACGGAGACTAAAAATAAGCTGACCTGTACAGCACGGTTGGGAGGCGAGCTTAAGGTTCACGTAATAGTCTTAGTGGTGTCATGTGATGCTAGATGGTTATGTTGCACGTTTAGTAAGGCAAGAGTACTGAGTTATAAAGGGGAACTGAGTAGAAGGGATTTTATACTTCATAACAAAACTTTTCAAAAAGAGTTTTTTGGATAGTCTTTACTAATTTACATTTACTTTTTTTTTTTTTGATTTTCTTACTATGAAAAGTGCTATAGATGTAAACATTTAGAGTTCCAGAGATGGATTGCTGAGACAGGTTAATCAAAATAAGATTCCCCTCTTTGGTGGTTGTAACAACAGAGCCCAGAGCCTTGTAGATCTCAGTGACAAATGTTCTGTCATGTAACATGAGGGCCGGCTTGTTGGGGTTTCCGTCCCGCCCAGTACCCCAACAGCCAGCAAATCCCAAAGAGAAATTACACACAGGACTCCATAAGGTTATAAACTGATTGGCCCATTAGGTCAGGCTACTTATTAGTTCTTATAACTTATCTTAACCCATTATTCTGATCTATGTTAGCCACATGGGCTCAGTACCTTTCTCAATGTGACAGCTTACATGTTGCCTCTTCGGTGTTCTTCGCAGGAGTGGTGGTAGAGTTTCTACTTCCAGAATACTCCCAGTCTCTTTGTTCCACCCCTACTTCCTGTCTGGCTTTCCCGCCTATACTGCCTGCCTGGCCAATCAGCATTTTATTAAAATATGATTGACAGAATACAGACAATTCTCCCACACCACTGTCACTGGACTATATATCCAGCCTTAGTTAAGATTTTTAAAATTGACAAGCCTGATAACCTGAGTTCAGAGTTTGATCCCCGGGATCTATGGGAAAAAGAGAACTGATTCTTGCAAGTGGTCCTCTGTCCCCACATCTTCAGTCACACGTACACAAATCACACATCACTCATCTCTCTCTCTCTCTCTCTCTCTCTCTCTCTCTCTCTCTCTCTCTCATACACACACACACACACACACACAATGGGGGTGGAGAAAACTTACTGTATGTTTTGAAAGATACAATAGAATCCTTGCTACACTATACCTAAACAGTTGTTTTGCATTATTGGTATAAGCTTATTTTTTCTTTTTCTTTCTCCCCACAGACTAGGTAATCATAAAATGACCTGTCCCCATTATAGGATGTTTGCAGTCATTCCATGTGACAGTCTGTTGTCATTGCTAGGGAGTTTTGCATCTAGGAGTGCTTCCCAGACCACTGTGCGTATAATTTCAGAGCTGTTAGCATAGAAGAAACCCGTGTTCATGGAAATGCTTAGATGCTTATGTATGGAACATGATTTTCCTTACAGTTACTAAAATTTAAAGTGAAAATATGTAAATAACCAGAACTGTTTTTCAGATATTAAATGGGTAAGAGTCCACAAAAACAAAAAGAGAAACCTTGTAAATATGATTTGAGCTTCTGTTATTTGAACATTCAAAACTTTTTTGTTCATTGATATAACATTAAGACTATGAGTGGAAAATTCCACACCTGATCCATGTGACAGGCTACAGGCAAAATTTAGCTGCACTAAAAATATTGTATAGAAATGCTCAGGTTATGTGGTAAAGTGAGTATGAAACACAGATGAGTCTCAAGTCTAGGTTTGTGTCCTAGCAACAAGATTTCTGTTACCATGTAAATAATGCTGAAATTTGAAAATGCCCCAGATATGGAACACTTCTGATCCCTGATGAGTTGCTTGTAAGATTAGAAGAGTTATATTTGTCATAGCAGTCTGACTTTATTGCGTGTATCTGCTTGTTTTCCTGATAGTACATCTGGGAGCAGCTGGCCTCTGGTTTCAAGCACAAGAACTTCCGATCTCGAGAGGGCGTGTGTCTGTGTCTTATTGAGACCTTGAACATGTAAGTTCTGTGGTTACTGAAGCAACTTGCTCTCTTTTAGTCATTTCTCAAGGTTTTTTTTTTCCCCACAAAGTGAAGGAAGAGTGGAAATAAACTCAATTGATCTTTCAAACAAAAATATAATATTTAATGCAACTTTTGGATATATAAGATATCTATTGTATTTATTTTTAAATTTGTATCTTTTTTTCTTTAACCATGCAGAATTGGTGGTTATAGAACTGATAATGCTAATAAGTTTGGATCTTTTCTCTGTTAGGATCTGCTTCAGAACTTCTGAACTCAGTGGTGTGTTACATGTTGAAGCCATTTCCTACATAGCTTTTATCAGTAGGCTCTAGACTAAGGCACTATGGGTGACGGCTACAGTGATACACCTCCCCTCTAGTGGCGGCGGCAGAGTTCTGATAGCTTAGGCTTCACAGGGCTATGATATAGGCAGAAGAAATGTGTGTGAAGGCTTTTATTCTTATCCCAGAATACCTGTCCAGACTGTGCGGGGTGATAGGTAATACGCAGTCTCTTTCAACTCTTCCTGTGGTGTGACTTCCTCTTCTTTCACTGTTCTGGGTCCTTCCTGCTAGCAAGTACAGGTTGTGGCCTCTTGTCACTGCGCTTTCTGAGTTTTAGTTCTCCTGTCATTTGAATTCAACCCAGACTTCAGAATGTTAGTAAAAATAAAGATCTCTTAAGTTACTTATTTTATTTCTCTGTGTATTGAGATCCAGTGTCATTAAAAAAAAATACCATTTCAAAAGTACATGCTCAGATTTTCTTAAGTAATTGATAGACTACCAGAGTTGTCAAAGTGCTGTTGAGTATTTGCCCTGTTGAATCATGTGTCAAGTTGACACAAACTATAGTCATCTGAAAGGAGGGAACCTCAGTTGAGAAATGCCTTCATGAGATCCAGCTGTAAGACAGATTCAACGCAATGCCCATCAAAATCCCAAAATTCTTCACAGACCTCGAAATCACAGTACTCAACTTCATACAGAAAAGTAAAAAACCCAGAATAGCCAAAACAGTTCTGTACAACAAAAGAACTAATGGAGGCATCACAGTCCCTGACTTCAAACTCTAATACAGAGCTACAGTACTGAAAACAGCCTGGTATTGGCATAAGAACAGACAGGAGGACCAATGGAACCAAATCAAAGACCCAGATATCAATCCACACATCTTCAGACACCTGATTTTTGAAAGAACTCAAAAAATTGGACACCAAAATATCACAAAATCCAATAAAAAAAAATGGAATACAGACCTAAACAGAGAACTCTCAACAGAGGAATCTAAAATGGCTGAAAGACACTTAAGGAAATGTTCCACATCCTTAGCCATCAGAGAAATGCAAATCAAAACAACTCTGAGATTCCATCTTACACTTGAAAGAATGGCCAAGATCAAAAACACTGATGACAACTTATGCTGGAGAGGATGTGGGGTAAAGGGAACACTCCTGCATTGCTGGTGGGAATGCAAGCTGGTACAACCCCTTTGTACGTCAGTATGGCGATTTCTCAGAAATTAGTAAACAACCTTCCTCAAGACTCAGTAATACCGCTTTTGGGTATATATTCAAAGGATGCTCAATCGTGCCACAAGGACATGTGCTCAGCTATGTTCATAGCAGCTTTGTTTGTCATAGCCAGAACCTGGAAACAACCTAAACGCTCCTCAACTGAAGAATGGATTAAAAAAAAAAATGTGGTACATTTACACAGTGGAGTACTTACAGCAGAAAAAAATAACAACAGCTTGAATTTTGCAGGAAAATGGACGGAGCTAGAAAACATTTTGAGTGAGGTAACCCAGACACAGAAAGACAATTATCACAGGTACTCACTCATAGGTGGTTTTTAAACATAAAGCAAAGAAAACCAGCCTACAAATCACAATCCCAGAGAACTTAGACAACAATGAGAACATTAAGAGAGACCTATATAGATCTAATCTACATGGGAAGTAGAAAGTAGAAAAAGACAAGATCTCCTTAGTAAATTGGAAGCATGGGGACCTTGGGGTAAGGATGGAAGGGGGAAGGGAGAGGCAGGGAGGGGAGCTGAGATAAATGTAGAGCTCAATAAATACCAATAAAAAACCAAACAGGGTAAAACACACACACAAAGATCCAGCTGTAAGGGTAAAACACACACACACAAAGATCCAGCTGTAAGGCATTTTCTCAGCTTGTGATTGATAGGTAAAGGCTCAGCCCATTGTTGGTGGTGCCATTCCTGGCTGGTGGTCCTGGGTTCTACAAGAAAGCAGACTGAAAAGCCATGAGTGCAAACCAGTAAGGAGCACTCCTCCATGGCTTCCACATCAGCTTCTGCCTCTAGGTTCCTGCCCTGCTTGAGTCCTGTCCTGACTTCCATTGGTGATGGATGTGTATGCCTTTCCTCCCCCACTTGCTTTTGGCTGTTGTTTTATCACAGCAGTTTAGCATCACTTTGCTTGATACTTGTCTTTCTTTAATGATGGACATCCATACTCTTCATCAAAGTTGTCAGTCAAGAGATAAAAAGAAAGGCATGGCATTGATGGCAAACACCTTTAATCCCGCCACTTGGGAGGCAGAGGCAGGGGGAATCTCTGAATTGAGGCCTTCTTGGTCTACAGAGTGAGTTTCAGGACAGCCAGGGCTACACACAGAAACCCTGTCTTCAAAAACAAAAACAAAAACAAAAGAAGAAAAAGAAGGCATTAGGATATTTTTTTTCAGTATTTAAAATGAAACCAAAGTCTGTGTTTTCTTTTTCAAATTATATTTAGCTTTGGAGCTCAACCATTGGTCATCAGCAAGTTGGTGCCACATTTGTGTATCTTATTTGGAGATTCTAATAGTCAGGTAAGAATTTTTTTACCTTCATGTATTGACTGTGTGTGTGTGTGTGTGTGTGTGTGTGTGTGTGTGTGTGTGTATGTGTGTGAGGGGTTGGGGGGCACTCTTGCCTTATTTAAGCCGTAACAGTGAAGACAGAAGGTAGATAGTTAAAAGATTGCCCCCCCCTTTGTGTTTTAAGTTAAATGAGGGTTTGACTTTGTTGCTCAGAATCCACTGGGTTCATGTGATCTTCCTGCTCCACCCTCCTTAGCAGCTAGGACTACAGGCCTATTCTCCCTTTTTCTTCCTCTTCTTCCCCCTTCTACCAGAGTTTTGTTTACTTATTTATTTTGAAACAAACATAACTTTTTTGTCAGTTCTTGGACTGATATTTAACTTAATGGTTAGATTCTTGAGTTTGAGAGGTTAAGAAAATCCTGGGTTCCCTTCTGAGGTCCACCTTAATGTTAACTGTGGGGCTAGAGTGTCAACGGTTACAGTCTTGAATATGCTTATACCAGAACTGTTGGGGTTGTTGATAGCCCTGTTTAATAGGGAAGGCCGCTTTGTCCATGGTGCATCTCTTTACTTGAGCTGTCTACTGTAGTCAGGAGGCAAGGCTTCATCTTCCCTGGAAAGTCAGTTGTAATATTGTAACATTATCTATGAGCTAGCTAGGGCATTTGGAATAAGATTTTTTCACTTCTTACAAACTGTAGTTGCCCCTTAACAGATTTATAGAGCTTTACTCTCTTCAATTGCTGTTTTATTTACAGACAAAAGTTTTCCTTTTCTTGACCAGCCTGGCCTCAAGCTCTTAAACTCAATTGATTTTTTCCCACCATAGTCTCCTAGGAACCTGGTACTAAAGGTGTGTGCCACCACACCTGGTTGGTTGCTTTTTGATAGTGAGTTGTGCAAAAAAAAATAAATAAATAAATGTTGTTTTTCAGATTGTTCTCTTAGGCCCCATTCTTTTGTCACTTCTTATATAGAATGTAACATTTACCGTTGCAGCTGTGTTTAAGTGTGCACTTTGGTGGTGTTAAATACATTCACATTGTATTGCGACTTTATTACCATCTCCCTGTAAAACTTTTACCTCCTCAGAACTAAGACTCTGTACCCATGAGACAACTTCCCATTACCTCCCCAGCTGCTGGCAACTACCACTCTTCATCATAATTTGACTACTCCAGGTACCTAGTGGAAGCAAATCAGACAATAGTTGTCCTTTTTGATCGATCCCATTTAGTCTAATGTCCACAAGTTATCCATGTCACAAAATGTGTCAGGATTTCTCTCTTCTTTCTAAGGTTGAGTTATTTTCCAGTAACACAGACATCAATCACATTTCCTGTATCTAGACCTACAGGAATAGGGATTGTTGTTTTGTTTGTTTTTTCCTACCCTTTGACTATTCTGAATAATTTCAGAAACACTGATGTAAAAATATCTTTTTGAGTTTAGTACACATTTTTGAAGATAATTTTATTCCAGAAAGTTAATTAACTGTACTCTAGGTTAATAAAATTACAATTTTTGAAATCCCAGTTGGTAGCTTTTATTCACAAATTTTATTAACCATCTCCCACCTCCTTTTTTTTTTCTTTTTTCTTTTTTATCTTTTCCTTTTCTTTGGATGGTAGTAGGGATTGAACCTAAAGATCTCACACATGCTGGGCAAGTGCTTCACCACCAAGATCTTGCTCCTCTTTAAATGGGTTTTGTAGGGCTTTTTTTTTTTTTTTGACAAACTGTGGTTTTGGGTTTCCATTAATAATATGTCATATTATAATTTTCTCAGGGACTGAAAAGACATTAAAACGAACTTTTAATTAGGTTTGCCTGCTAGTTTGTTGTTACCTTGAAAGGAAATATGTGTTACGTCTAAATTTTCTTTTAAATGTCTTGAATTCTTTAACAGGTGAGAAATGCTGCAATATCGGCTGTAGTGGAGATTTATAGACATGTAGGAGAGAAGCTGAGGTCTGATCTGTGTAAGAGAGACATTGCCCCTGCTAGGTAAGTCTTTCTAAATTTATATTTTGCTCTAGGTTTTTTTTGTTTTGTTTTGGTTTTTTGTTTTTTGTTTTTTGTTTTTTCCGAGACAGGTTTTGAGGCAGCTGTTTTGGAACTCGCTCTTTTAGACCAGGCTGGCCTCGAACTCACAGAGATCTGGGATTAAAGACCACACCTGGCCTATTGCTACAGATTTTTAAAGTTGTAATTTTGTTCACTTTATTAAAGTAAAATATTAGAGCCAGGTGTGCTGGCATGCATCTTTAGTCCCAGCACTTGGGAAGCGGAGGCAGGCAAATGTCTGTGAGTTGGAGGCCAACCAGACCTGCATAGAGAGTTCCATCAGGGCCAGCTATGGATCCATAGCATCTACGTTCCTGAGTTTTCTGGAACCAATTTATAGAAGTAAAGTTACATACCTAAACAGTTGGCACTCAGGAAGCTTCAGGTTTCCTTCAACTCAGCTATGTAAGTACTTAATATTTCCAGGGTAGAGTTTGTGTGAATTAGAATTTTCTCCATAGATAGTCCTGTCACCTGCAAAGATAGTTTTATTTTTCCCAATCTGTATAGTTTTCATTTCTCTTTCTTGTCTTTGTTGTTTCCCATGTGCTGTTAAGAAAGAGTAGAATGGGGGTGCATTCCTGCCTTGTTCTGTTCTTAGAAAATTTCTAGTTTCTTAACATTAAGAATGATGTTAGTTGCTAGGGTGGTGGTACACGCCTTCAATTCCAGTACTTGGAAGACAGAGGCAGGTGGATCTCTGCGAGTTTGGGGCTGGTGAGATCCTGTCTCCAGAGGGGAAAAAAATGATGTAAGTTGTAGGCTTTTGGTAAGTGTTCTTTTTTCTTAGGAGATGATATTATTTTAAGTTACATTTTATTTGGAGTGTGAGTGACGTGGTAGGTGAAGGTCAGGGCACAACATGAGGGAATCACCACATCCGCTGGCTTTGGAACAAGCACCTTTTTGTCAGTTGGCTTTCTAATCCTAAAAATTGATTCTAGTGAACTTTTTACGTATGTAGAGTTAAAACAGTTTAAGCATTTTAAGTGTAAAGGTGGCCTGGGCAAAGTGATTTTTTGTTTGTTTTTTTTCAACACAGGGTTTCTCTGTGTAACAGCCCTGGCTGTCCTCAAACTAGCTTTTATGGACCATCTGGCCTTGAACTCACAGAGATCACCTACTTCTGCCTCCCTGGTGCTGGGATTAAAGGCATGTGTCACCAGGCGAATCTCTGTGAGTTCAATTCCTGTAGACCAGGCTGATCTCGAACTCATAGAGATCCACCTGCCTCTGCCTCTTGAGTGCTGGGATTAAAGGTATGTGCCACCAGGCGAATCTCTGTGAGTTTGAGGCCAGCCTGGTCTACAGAGAGAATTTGCAAATTGCTTTAATGGCTACCCCCAACATCTTTTCCCTAGAGTCCAGGTTGTAACCATTTATTTTTTACTAATATTATTTATAACTATCAATTGTCAGTGTTTTCTTTTTCTTTCTTTTTGGGTGGTGGTGGTGTTTGAGGCAGAGTTTCTCTGTGTAGCCCTGGCTGTTCTGGTACACACTGGCCTCAAACTGAGAGATCTGCCTGCCTCTGCTTCCCAAGTGCTGGGATTAAAGGTGTGCACCACTACTGCTTGGCTAACAGTCTGCATTTTTACCAGTAGTTTATGTTGTTGATCTTATGACTGATTTTTGGTTTCTGGTGCTAAAATTTTCAGGCTTCATTGTGGATGTGTAGCACAAATAATAAAAACCCAGAGATAGATATTGAGTTCAACCTGAAGATTAGAAAAGCAAAGCCACCAAGCCACCAAACAGCTCTTATCTCTCTGAAATCTTCAGACTGAAAGAGGGCAAGTTCCTGTCTCATCCTGCTTTATATTCTTCCTAGTGCTCTGTGGTTAACTAGTGTGGCTGCTGGGATTAAAGTTGTGTGCCGCTACTGCCTGGCCTATATAACTGACTGGTGTGCCTGTTTTGCATTCTGATCTTCAGGCAAACTTTATTTATTAAAGTACAAATGAATATCACTACGTTTCTCAGTTTTGTCTGAAGTAGAAGAAAAAGAAGGCTATAAGTAATATAAGAAAAAAATATACTACAGTAAGTACAATAACTATGTATAAAATATATTCAGGCAATAAATACATCAATAATGTCTAATCCATTTCCATTTGACAAATTCAGAGAAAACCCTTCAAAGCTATCCTATTTTGGTGAGTCAAAAATCTTATGCCTAATTTACTTTCTATCATAACTTGTTTTCTACATCTGGTAAACAAGGAAAGCTATAACTTTAACTAGTTTTCAACTACCTCAGAGACCCAAGAAGGAAATAATATTGACTGAGTGTAACATGTGGGTCTGCTTGTTGGGGTTTCTCTTCTGCCTATTTCCCACAGCTGGCAAGTCCCAAAGAAAATCACACAGAGGTCTCCATAAGTTATAAACTGATTGGCCCACTAGCTCAGACTTCTTATTAACTCTTGTAATGTATATTAGCCCATTATTCTAGTATATGTTAGCCACCTGGCTCAGTACCTTTTTCAGCAGGGCAGGTCACATCCTGCTTCTTTGGTGTCTGGACAGGACTGCAGAAAGAGCTTCCTTCTTTCCAGAATACTCCTGTTCTCATTGCCCTGCCTCTACTTCCTGTCTGGTTGTCCCGCCAATACTTCCTGCCTGGCTACTGGCCAATCAGCGTTTATTTAAAGCGTAATTGGCAGAATATAGGCAATTCTCCTGCAATTACCAACTGAGTAAGCAAAAAATGTGAGCAAGCAACTTCCAAGAATGTGGGAAATAACAGAAATAGCTGGCTGCCTGGACAGTTACCCAAAGTTCCTGTTCAACATTGGGGCATTCATCTTTGGCCTATAGGCCTAGTATGATTGACTTTTCTGTGAAGAAGGATATTCTGAAAGGCTGTTCCTCCTTGTCTTGACAATGTTTGACAGTCATTTTCTTTTGTGCCCTGCTTATCCAATTAGGACAGCATACTGTCAGCAGTTGAGGCAAGGACATTTTCTTGCCCAGTGGCTTACTTTTGCCACAAAGAAAGTAAACTCCATCCATGTTCAATGCCCATTATCTTCTATGTAGTAGAATGGTGCAGCCAGGAGCAGACATGTCTCATTGTCTCAAAAAGAGCCTATATTATTAAAATATCTTTAATGCCATATTCTGTAGGTTTCTGAAGTGTTTGAAGATGACCTGTCTATCTAAAATATATCTTTGTTTGACCTTGAAAACATACCTTATGTAACTACAAGTTTGATTATAATAGGTGATTAACTATTACCCTGCATTTCCTTATTATCCTAAATGGTTGGTAATAATAATTTTCAAGGACTAGAAGTTTGCATTATATTGTTAAGTGAGGTGTATAGGTACAATACTTTGAACAAGAGTAGAAATGTATTTACAGTATCTTCTAACAATTAATCTCAAATTTGTATCAACATACAAAGGACCAATCCTGTGTAAAACATTTAAAACTAGTAGTTGCTTTTTAAAAGTAGATTCAATAATCTACCTCTTTATCTTATCATATCTTTATCTTTCCTTTATTTTTTTCAGAGTAGATTCAGTAATCTTCCCTTTAATCTATCATCTATATTCCCCTTTTTTCTTTTCAAAACAAGAACTTTGTATCTAATTTCCTTTGTTTAACTTTCCTCTTGACTGTAGCCAGTAACAACTTGTAAGCAGCCCCGTAAACAATGACAAATATCCATAGCTGATTGAATGGCTACAAACCACCCACCCCATCTCTTGGGAATATGGAGGTCATGCTCTTAAATTTACTTTCTTCTGTCTGGGGGTGACAGTATCTTTAGGTGATCCTGAAAACAAAAATTTGGATCAATTGTCAAGTCGTGGGAGAGGTAGCTGTATCATTTGTTGTCCAGTCTCTGCATAATGGGAAGTATAGGGCTTGTCTCAAGTCCTGGCTAGAGTAGTCTTGTGAGGCTGTATCATTTCAGCTAGCCACCTGGAAATTGTTCTGAGTAGTTTGTAGTCGAAAAGCCAATATTTAGGTGTTTTTCTTCAGCTTAGTGGTGTTATCGTAGTCCTGAAGGAATCATTGTTGTGGAACCCCATCCTCCTTTTAGAGACTTCAAAGGTTGCTGTTAGGCGTGTTCATGTTCACTGCAGAAAACTGATAGAGACTCACACCCAAAATCACGTACAAAGGTAGAATTAGTTAGTACTCTGTATGACCATTAATATCATGACAAAAGCTTAAAAAATATATGTGTATGTATTAATATCATAAAATTTATGCCTTAAGAAAAGCTGTTAAAGAATCAATGTAAATCCAAAGGATTATGAGATTGGTGGCAATAAAATAGTCCTTAAATATTTGTTTTTCTTCAGTCTCATATCAGGTGACTCTTCTGACATGAGACAGAGATTTTGGATTTCACTTTAATAAGCATGCTTAGATTTAGAGAAGGAGACAGCCACAGTTCCACTACAAAGCCAGCTTTGATTTTTTATTAGACTGGGACTGCAAAAAGACTTTTTGCATTATATGTCTCTAGAGAACTGCAGAAACAAACATTTGAAAAGATTTATGAAATTTTGTCCTGTTTGAAATGTGATATACCAATAAGCCAATTTACTCTTTTGCGGGGGGACATTTTTTTCTGGATGATTTGTCCTTTTTCTTCAGATGTCTCATTTGTCCAGTCGTCTTCAGATTCCTAAAGTAAATCCTAAAGGCTTGGTGCCTTTACTCTCCTGGAAAGACAGAAACAAAACCCTTGCCAACCCTAATTTTGTGGAGATTCTCTTTTGGTAAATTATATCTGGTCAAATGAAAACAAAAATTGTTCGTTTTATAGGTTAGTTTGGATTAAATGACTATGGTGCTTAGTGAACTATCATCTCTTCTAATTAAGAGGGATCTGTTGTTCAATTCAAATATATACATGTGTGTGTGTATCATATGTATATATATATATTATATATACATATGATATATATGCATACAT